ATTAAGTAAAATAATTTCAGGATCTATTTAAGCAAAGGGATATACAGAGGGATCAGACAATTAGTTTATCTAACCATTGTGTTGTTATAAGGAGGTAAACTACTGCACATCATAGTCTTTATTTTGATTGATGTTTGTTTTTCATCTCTAAACCATGCAGCTTAATTTACTTTTCCAAAAACAAATATAACAACAGCTAAAACATTTAAATGCCCTCAGATAAAGAGTGGACCCAGGCAGTTCCTAATAATAGAAATAGTTCTTCGAAGTCCCTAAACTAGCCCTGGCCTTATTGTTGATGATGGTATTGTGCACCATTGAGTTGGAACCAATTCATTGTTGACCCTCCAGCAGAGTTTAAAAGGCAGTAGATCACACAGGAGGAGATTGCAGCTGGTGGATTTGAACTTCATACTTTAAGCTATCAATTTTAGACAACCAACAATCCACTCTCTGCCTGGATTGACTTGATTATACAGGGAATTTAATATAAATGGAACTTTATAAGATACAAGATTGTTTGGTAGGATAATCTATAGTACTTATCTTGTCTATCTGGAGGTTGAAATCCATCAATACCTGCAGGAAATAGATAATCCCTTCCCATGAAATTGGCTTCGGACAGGGCAAGCTTCATAGCTGATATACATAGGATAACTATGGGTCACAGGTGACTGAATGGCACAGAACAACAACAACATGGATATTTAACCTAAGAAACCTAATGAAGAGTCAGCTATGAGTCCATTCTCATGTGGCAGCAATACTTTTGAGTTGAGTACAATATACAGTCTTCTGTAATTGGTTTATTTTCTTGGAATAATGGCTTTCATTTATATTGTCATGGTTTGTCCATAAATCACTCCTATTAGTGTTGAATGTTGTTGTTATATACCATTGAGTGGGAACTGACTCTTAACTGCCCTTCCACCACTGAGTGGGAACTGACTCTTAACTGCCCTTCCACCAAGTTCAGAAGTACATAGATTGTCCTTCTCTTTCCCTTGGAAAAGCTGGCAAATCTGAACTGTACACCTTCGTGCATAGAGAACAGCTAGAGGTCTTCAAGTTGGATTTAGAAGAGGTCATGACACCGGGGATATTATTGCTAATGTCAGATGGATCTTGGCTGAAAAATGTCTATTTGTGCTTTATTTACTATCAAAAGGCATTTGACTATTTGGAAATCACAAATTATGGCTAACATTGAGAAAATAGAAAGCTCTAGACCACTTAATTGTGTTCATGTGAAACTTATGCTTAGAACAAGAGACTGTATGTGAACAGAGAAAGGGAGCACTGCCAAGTTTACAATTGGGAAAAATGTGCATCAGTTATATACTTTCTCCATACTTATTTAATCCGTATGCTAGGCAAATTATTCAAGAGGCTGACTTCTTGACACTGTGTCAATCCACTTGAGTATGTCAGAGATTGTGAGGACGTCACAGGATAGGACAGGGTTCAGATCTGTTGTTCATAGGGTTGCTATGAGACCTACTTGACCTGATCCCCCTACCAAAAATATTTTATCTATTTTTATTATTTAATAAAATTTTTAGCATATTTACTTATTCAGTGAATTGTTTCCTTGATTTTTTTTAACCAACCATTAGGTAATTGAAACATTAATAGTAACTTTACTAATTTACTATATTTTACTTCAGTAAAAAAAACTTGGAAATTAATTTTGGCAAGTTTCAGCTATCTATACATGTCTGAAGCAAGAATATAGGTTAGGAGTAATGTTGAAAATAAGAATTTGTTGTTTCCAAAAGGATAATGAGCTGGAAGTGATTTTAATGCCTTTGTTATAGACTGAATTCTTTCCTCCCAAAAGTTGTATTCTAGTCCTAATCCCTTGAATTGTTAACTGCAAGGTAAATTGAAACTTTTATTATTCTAATGAGGTCATGATAGCATATAATGAGTTCTAAACCTAATCACTTCTAAGTTGTATCATAGGTAAAGAATAGAATACACATAGATATGCACACATACCAGGAAAAGACAGGTGATAGAAACAGATACATCTATAAACTCACAAAAGCTAAGGATTACTGATAGTTCCTAAAGGCTGAAAGAAACAGAGGTCTTTCTTTTAAAACTTGGCAACCTGAATTTGAACTCCTAGTCTTTATAATGGGTAAAATATATTTCCATCTTAAAGTCATACATTTGTGGTGGTTATTTTTTATTTGTTTGTTTGAAGCACTAGGAAATTGAATTATCTAAGAACTTACATTTTAAATGTTAGAATAAGTCATTAAAAAATCACAGTGTATTTTAGGGAATGACTGACCCAATATGAAGTAAAAGCTATGCCTTGTAAACAGATATTAAAATGAGTTGTGTGGACTTGAACTCCCAGTTTAATGTGGGTGATTAAACATATGCTGTATATTGTATGTAAATATACCGCAATAACATATCCTTTACAAAATAAAAGAGCAATGTACCTGTTAAAAGTGGTCAGTTTCACATTGCAAAGTTAGTGAAGTTTTTCTACTGTGCGGTTCACAAAGTTTTATTAAAAAGAAAAAGTCTCCAAGTTGAAATTATGAGGAAAAGAAATATACATTTCTGGTACATTTAAATTAATAGAAAATTCCATGAAACCAAACAAAATCTTCAATGTGAGAAGCATAAAAAAGGAATAAGTTCAAAATGATTAATAAGTTTTAAATTAAGATGATTGACAGGAAGCTAGGGACTCTTGCAACTAATAAAAAACCCTCTAAACAAATCTAAGCAAAACAGATTAAGTTATTTGCAAGTTCCAAATATCACCTTTCCCTCAGGACCTTGAAAGAGGATTCAGCATACAGTTGGTTTCATAATTGTTCCACTGATCTAGAAATGCAGGCTTACTTCAAGGCATCAGGGAACTAACACTACCAAAAGAGCCTTAAAATATCTCTTTTTGGATGTAAGCATAAAAGGAAAGTCAAGGAAGAGCTGCTGCTTCTGAGCCAGAGCCAGATATTACACTTATATCCAGATGTGTCTCTCTAACAGGAAGGCAGCCTTATCTCCTCCATATTTTACTTAGGGAAGAGCTGGGGGAAAATACAATATAAGGGTTTAAAATGTTATAATTTATATCATGATATAGTATCTTATGACAAACATTTTTCTATAATTTCCATATTAAATAATAATAAAACATGGTCTCATATTTCAAGGAGGCTTTCTCCCCTTCTTTTTCTTTTGGAAAGAAGAGGAGTAGAATATTTTCTCAAGTATTTTTTTTCCTTTCTTTTCTACTATTGTTATTTTGTAAGAGTGACTCTTTGTTCTGTTTGCTCATTGCCAAAGAATTGGAACCAACTCATAGGTGACTCTCAAGCATGTTTGATAGGGTGTAAATCTCATGGAAGACTTGCTCCTTTTCTCCTGAAGAGCCCCTTTTGGATTTGAACCACAAGAGAGATGTCACCTTTGGGTTAGAAGCACAAATTCCTGCAGACTGAACCACCTGAACTACTAAGAGCAACCAGAACTCAAAACCTTAATACTCCTTGCCATCAAGTCAGAACTCATTGCTGAAAAAAGGAGATTGTTCATCTTTCTCCACTAGAGTAACTGGTGTATTATAATTGCCTATCTATGAGTTGACAGTATAACTCCCAACCTACTAGAGCAACAAAGCTACCTGAGAGCAATCTTACTTTTGGTTTAAAAAGCTATGACCATCAAACACATGAAGAAATGTTCAAAATCCCTAGCTCTAAGAAAGATGCAAATCAAAACAACTATGAGATATCATCTCACCCCAGTAAGAATAGCAAAAGTTAAAAGAACAGCAAACAACAAATGCTGGCGAGGTTGGGAAGAAACTGGAACCCTTATTCACTGTTGGTGGAAGTGTAAAATGGTGCAGCCACTATGGAAGGCAGCATGGTGCTTTCTCAAAAACCTGCAAATAGAAATACCGTTTGACCCAGCAATTGCACTACTTGGAATATACACTAAAGAAACAATAACCGCCACCCAAGCAGATATATTCACACCCGTGTTTTTCACGGCTTTGTTCACAATAGCAAAGAGCTGGAAACAACCTAAGTGCCCACCAACAAATGAATGGATAGAGAAGCTGTGGTAAATTCACACAATGGAATACTACACTGCATTGAAAAACAAGGAACTCAAGAAATATTATTCAAAATGGTTGACCCTGGAGGACATTGTGCTGAGTGAAATATCTGTCACAAAAGGACAAATACTGCACAGTGCCACTGTTGTAAAATGGGACTGACATAAGGGTTGGGGGAAGACTGAGAAAGATAGGATAAATTACATATACTGCATTGAAAAAGATGAGAGAGAGAACTGCTTAAAAGGGATATTTGATTAGGTACTATTGTCATGACAGGAGTCCAGAACAAAAGCTGCATAGAGGAGTGGACTTGGGGGGGGGAAGGATTATATAACAATGAAAGAATTTTTCTTTTACTTTTCCAAGAGAGGAACAAACTGGAGGGGGGCGGTGGGCAGGGAGAAAAGTCCAACAATAAATGAATGGAAATCCAAAATCTCTGTACATTTTCATTAAGATTAATAATAATAGTAAAAGTATTAATTAAAAAAGAAAAAAGCTATGATCATTGGTTATTCTTCAAATACAAGACAGAAGATGACAATGTACCTTAGAGTTGTCTAATATTCATAGTTTATACTCATCAAAAGTCAGTATCATAGATACTGCAACCTGTATCAAATAGAACAGCTGTTGAATTAAACAGTAATTTTTCTTCTTTTGGAACTCTAGTAGCCTAGTGCAAAAAGCTTCACTGCAATCCTGAAGGCACTTGGTTCGAGACCACCAACTGTTCTGCAGGAGAAAAATGGGCAGTCTCCTCCCATGTGATTGTCTCTGAAAACCCGCTGGAAGGTCAGCTATGGGTTAGTTCCAACTCTAGAGTGCATAACGAGAACATTTTTTTCTTTAAACAAATTCTCTTCAACAAGTACTATCATACTTGTTTAGAAGTCCTTACCTGGAAGTCAAAAGTCCAAGTGCTTCCAATGGGTGAGAAAATGTCCAGGATTTTAAAATGATATGCATGTCTGAAACAGTCCTCTCATCCCATCCAGGGGCACTTCCCAGAATCAAAGGAAGGGAACAGTTTTCATTATTGCAGTAGAAGCGATAAAACCATAGGTATCTTCTCTTTTCCTTCGAGAGTCTGAAAAACCATATTGGAAACTGTTGTTCACTTTAGCTTGCTTCACTAATAAATATTGCTGTAAACAGATAGTATAAAATTTTATTTGAGTTCATCGAGTTTTGTTTTATTTTGAAGAACAACCCTTTTATCTTCCTGAGACAGTTTGATAGGTTATTTCATCAACTTTTTTCCCTCTAACTTTATTCTTTCATAGAAAAAAATATACCACAAAACCTCAGTTCACATACTTCTACTTATTTTTCATCATTTTCTCCTTGTCACTTTTTAAGAAAAAAAAATGTTATTTGTTTGTCACTATCTGTCTCCTTCAGGGAAGAACAAGTTATCTGAGCTCTGCAACATATACAATTTAGAATGAAGGTAATTGACTACTTTTACCCTGTGAAGAAGTGGCATATTTTAAAGAGAGTATTCCTTCATCTCAGAGCAAGTTTCAAAGTTCAGAAAATTCTTTGCTCTAAATTTCAAAAACAAAGAATTCAATTCATCTCGAGTTTGACTTTAAACTCCCTGAGTTCACTCGAAGTTTGGCATTAAAATGCCAATGAGTAGGCCTTCCTTAAATATTCAAGTAGTTCTCCCTGGAAAGTGGTCCTAAATACAAGATCTAAATCTCAGAATAGGGCTATTCACTGGCTGACACATCGTCACATTTTGCTTACACTCTATCAGCAGTATTCAAAGCACAGTTCAAATGGAGACCAAAATTTCTTACATGATAGTTTTTGAACACTGTCTCCTCCAAATAGACATTCTATTCAACAGCTTTTAAATCAGCTAAAACATTCAAAAGAGCTAATAAGAAATATTAAAATATTTAAAAGTCAGTATTTCTCAATAAATATGTTTTGAAACTATCTTCATCTATGACATGAAAAATTGGATGATGAAATATTTTATAGGTACATTTAGAACTGTTACCTACATTTTGTTATGGCTCCTAACAGAAGTCTATCAGAAGCCAAGATGCTTAACAAAATTACTTAATACAAAGTTTGTCCTGATCTAATGTTTTTCCTGTTTTAGCACTGTTTGGATTTCTCCCCTCACTTTTATATTTTTATGCATTGTTGTTTACAGAAAGGAATGTATGTATTCATTTCAATAAATTTTTACAAATGCATAAATCTAGTAAAAACCATACCCTGCTCCTACAAAGATGTAAAATTGCTTTCATGCTTCTTACTTATTCAATCTTTTCAATAAGTGCTTGCAACAAGGAATGCATTTTCTTGTGAGAAAATCAAATTGGGGGAAGGGGTAAGGGAGGAAAAGGTGCAAAATGAATGAATGGATATCCAATTTCAAACTTTCCTTGAAATCATAATAAAAATTATTTCTAAGATAATTTTTAGAGAACAAAAACAAAGTTTTTTAAAAAATTTTATTTTATTATTTTGTGTGTGTGTACTGTCAAATCGGATCTGACTGGTTCAGGAGATTGTCCCTTCTTTTCCAGTAGAGCATCTGGTGGATTTGAACTGTATGCCTCTGGGATGGTAGTGCAACTTCTTGCCACTAGGCCATCAGAGCTCACTAAGAACAAACTTTTGCCACCTGCCTATCTCAGGGTTTCTTTGGATCTTCCTCCAAATCGGGTGCCTCATTCTTCACATAACTAAGTTTCTCAGATTATTTGTTCAGCATACATATTGACTGTTGTTGTGTACCTTTGAGTCAGAACCGACCCTTAGTGGATATTCCAGTGGGTTTTCAGAGACAGTTAAACACATGGGGGGTGAGTGCCCATACTTCTCCCACAGAACAGCTGGTGGCCTCAAACTGCATGTCTTCAGGATTGCAGTGCAGCTTCTTGCCAATAGGCCACCAGAGCTCCCTAAAAGTACACTGAAAAGAAATGACCCGTGACACATATCTTTCCTTCATGCTTTTAAACCAAACAGTATTCCCTTGTTCTGTTTGAATAACTACTTCTTGCTGCATATGGAGATTTCACATGAACACAATCAAGTTTCTGGAATTCCCTTACTTTGTAATGTTATTAGTATTCTTCTTAAAGACCTGCATGACAGTGTGTGTGTGTGTATCTCGTCAATAACAGACAAGTACGTATCTTTCTAGTATTCTCTGCTTTCAATTAAGATCCATCTGATATCAGCAATGATTTATCTTTGCTTCATGGCGTCTTCTGAATCCAGCTTGAATTTCTGACAGTTTCTTGTTGATGTACTGCACTGCTTGTTGTTGTATCAATAGCAAGACGATTTTACATGAATGTGCTATTAATTATATTTTTAATTTCCACATACTGGTAGATTCTTTGTAGATTGAACACAAATATAGATGTCTTCCATTTGATTGGCCAGTTAGCTGTCTTCCAAATTTCTTGGCATAAATGAGGAAGTATGTGCAGGACTGTATCTGTTTGTTGAAACACCACATTGATATTCTATCAATTAATGCACCCACTGATTTCACCAATTCCATCAGTGTACCTTGGTCATCTTCTTTTAGTACCATTGATTCTTTATCAGACATGCTACTTTTTTTAAATGGTTCAATTGTTGACTAGGGTTGGTTGTTTTTGTTTTTTTTTTTGGTACAGTAATACTGTATATTTTTTTTCCATCTTCATTTAATGCTTCTTGTGTCATTCAACATTTTGCCCACAGAATCCTTCAGTATTGGAATTGCTAGCTTGAATTTATTTCAAGTCTTTTAGGTTGAGAAATACTAGTGTGTTTTTCCCTTTTGGTTTACTAACTCCAATTGTTCGCATATTTCATGAAAACATTTTGCTTTGACTTCTTAAACTGCCCTTTGAAATATTCTGTTTAGTTTTCTTACATCATCAATTTTTCCATATACATTAACTCCTCTAGATCAAGAGAAATTTTCAGACTCTCTTCTGGAATTCATTTTAGCTCTTTCTTTCTTTCTTTTTTAATTCTTCAAATATGGTGTCCTTGATATTAACCCATAACTCCTCTGCTCTCTTGTTAAAAAATAGTAAATGCCTCAAATCTGTTCTTGAATTAATCTCTAAAAATCAAGTAAGATATATTAAGAATGTATTTTGGCTCTTGTGTACTTGTTTTTATTTTCTTAATCTTCCAATTACCTGTATATTTGCAATTGATAATCTATTCCACCGTTTGGTCAGTGGTCTTGTTCTAATTTAGCTTTGAATTTTAAACTTGTTCAAATTGAACTTGTTAAATTTGTTGTTCAACATTGAACTTGTTCTAATTTAACATTGAACTTCTCCAGCATCTCTTTCCACAGAAACAGTTCATTTAATCCCTTTATATTATATCCGGTGAAGTCAATGTGTATAATTGCTCTTTTTAATAAGAAGTTTATTTCCCAGTAATGAGTTGTTTGCTGTAAAAAAATTCCATCATCTGATCTCCAGCTTCATTTCTGTTTCCTGTCTCTAAAAAAAGCAAAACTAAATTAATAAATATTTCACTGATTTCCAGTGCTTTTCCAACAGATTTTTAAAGCTGTAAATCTTTAATGGGTGTGATGGCAATAGAATAGCTGGTAGATATGAACTACTGAGTTTTGCTTAGTATCCAACACTTAGCATTCTACACTTTGAGATATTCTAAGGATAGGCCTAGTATAGCCTAAATCTAAGCTAGAGTTGTGTGCCATTGAGTTGCAACCAACCCATGTTGACCCTCAAGTGGATTTTTGTTGTTGTTGTTATGTGCCGTCGAGTCGTTTGCGACTCATAGTGACCCCATATACAACAGCCCTAAACCGTGCCAATCTCATTGCCTCTGACACACCCATCCCGAGTACCCCAGTCACTGAAT